GCTCACGTGGTGTCCCATGGTCGTTGGCGCAGACGGAGTTGCGAGGATTTGGTGGGTGGGCCGAGGACTGGTGGAACACGTTAACGTGTTCCACCAGTTATCCGGCCACACCACTCATCCGCCACCCCAAAACCACCAAAAATGACAAGAATCGCACCTTGAGATCTCAACAATTACTACGCGGAACAGTCTAGGATTTTCCATATAGTCTTTTTTGCGCTTCTAGAGTATATTTTGTATATATGGAACAATTAGATCTAGTAATTCTTAAGATACAGTACTAAGCCAAAAGTCTGTTCGCGCTAAATGCACGGGCCACGAACTCAGAAAATCTCACACATTTCAACTTAACGCAACTCTATCAAAGTAGCTCCAAATAAAAAATTAAAACGACAGAAATAATAGCAATTGCCTTAGTATCGTGTCTGGTAGCCTCTAGCTTGAAGAACTGCGTTGATACGTCGCGGCATAGATGTGATGAGGCTGCGCACCAGTTTTTCGGGTATAGCAGCCCATGTGATGGGCTGGAGCCCAGTGAGAGAATCCTCGATGATATCTCGGTCACGTGCGCGTAGTGCACTGTCCGCAGAATCCGGGTGCTGCCCGAGCACCTGGATTCTGTACAAGCGAGCCCGGCCGAAGGTTATCCCGAGCCGCCGCCCCCTGAACGACCTTCAGAACCCTAGCTACCTGTAGTTCTCTCCTCTATCGAATACAACTCCAGTATACCTGTGCGATAGCTCCTTGAGCGCAGCCCCTTACAGCCCACACCTCCTTCAAGCCCATCTCAAACTCAGCCCACTCACTTTCTGAGCCTCCCATATGATCGAGATGAGGTTTACGCTTATAGAGCTCCTTTTTAAGACTCCACCACAAGTGTTCTATAGGGTTGAGATCGGGTGAGTATGGTGGCCAATCGATAGTATGAACACCATGAAGCTCTAACCACTCCCTCGAGTGATAGGCAGTGTGTATTGGTGCGTTATCCTGCATAAACAACTCGCCTGGTCTGTAGTAATCGCGGAGTCCTTCCTCGAGAGCCCTAGTGTAGCTAAGGCTTGTATACCCGTTGCGCTTTGCTGATGCGTCGCGGGTCATGATTACTAGAGGACTACGCCCAATTCTACCCCCTGGAGTCATCCAAATTGCGGCCCAAACCATGCGAGCTGGTTGCTGGCTAGTCTCCTTCTCCTCTACCATCTCATGCCTCCATTTGTTCGCTGGTAAACGCCAAACCCAGCGAGGATTGCGGCCAGATCCGCGGGCAATGCTGCACTCATCGCTGAACTTTAGAGTAGTCGATCCCAATCGAAACCAGCCCATTGTAGAGCCCATTCACGGCGAAGTTTGGCAGTATTTGCGTTAATTTTTGGCCTCCGGGCGGCTTTATACTTGGAGTAGTTTGTACTTGCAAGTGCGCGGGCAATAGTTCGAAATGAAACTGGTGGTGTCGTCCCATCACCGTCCAGGCCCGCGGCTGTACGGAGAGCGCTGTACTCGATTGTAGGATCTTTCTTTACGACGATACGAAGCCGACGATGATCTCTACTAGTAAAAACAGGTGGGCGGCCCATACGATCGTGCCTGGTGTGGTAGGTAGTCGATTTCCATCGCGCGACAATCTTCTGTACAGCGCGTTGCTTGCGATCTCATGTTGTTGTTGGGCCCGTGCGTTTAGCGCGAACAGACTTTTGGCAAGGCACTGTATAAGGATTTAGCCCTATCTCAGCCCCCCGAATTTTAACATATTAACAACAGCTTAGTTATAAACCTTAAGAGTCTAACATATGTCTAAGAAGGAGTGTAAAAAGCTTATATTACAACATAAAGTGTTTCTGCATAGCGGTTGTTGAGATCTTAAGGTGCGATTCTGTCATTTTTGGTGGTTTTTGGGGTGGCCGGATGAGTGGTGGAACACGTTATATTAACCAGACGACGTCGTTCCACAGCAACTTGCCACCCCCACGATGAGTTCCTACTTGTCAGCGATAATAGAAATAACAAAGCTTGGTGCACCCTACGCTTCAGCAATTTGGCTACGCGGGGAAAGTGTTGCAAGCGCATGCAGGCTACTGTATCGCGGTACGAGCCATCACGATGTGTTCTAGCCAGTTACCTATTTGTCTGATTGTAAGCGTCCTTGAAAGATCGACTTTCCATATATGGTCACATGTCTCGTGGCTTCCGGGAGTATGCAATCTGTAGGAATCCAGGACTAGTCCTCGCTTTCAATGTTGCATGACTCCTTATACCCGCATCACCACCCTTCACATTGAGCAACGCCGTCCCCCATAGCCGGTTGATCTGCAGTGCTGGTTTCACACGTCATCACGATGGTTACACGAGGCGTTTGGCGGCTAAATCATACCTAGACAAACCCATGGCACGCGGCCCCCTCAAGCGCCCCGCGCTGCCGGTGGTACCAGGTCTGATTCGCCCAAGACAGCCACGGAAAATTCGTTCATGCCAAAGGACACACTCTTGCACTGCATCGAGAGCACTGCATCGAGAACAATGCAGCAGATCCTGCAACATGGTCGTCCTCGCCGTTGTACCGTGACGAGCCGACGAGTGTGTAGCTGTCGCTCTTTCCTATTCGTAGTCCCACGTGAAAGTGCCTAGCGCCGTCGCGTAAGCTATCTCGGAATGCTTACCTCACCAGATCTCGTCCCGCAGCTAGGGCTATCGTCGCGTTACCCCATCCTCCCGTGTCTGTCCTTTTGCCTGCTGGTCGCCACGACTACAACACCCTGTGATCTTTGTCTTTCTAGTCACCGCTTCCAACAGCCGACGCTACGTATTCTCTTCAATGCGCGGTCTAATAGCCCGTACTGGCCTTTGGTCTACTGGTTGCTATCAATCGCCACTGCTTCCCGGTGTGATATCATGCCGCACTTAGCATGCTCGCAATCGTCGTGGCTGCTTCAATGTCCGTGGTAATCGCAGGCTACTGTCCTGTGAAGTTTCCAGGCTCGCCATAAAAGCGTTACATCCGTCTATAGCTTCATTACAATACAAAACATTCTTCGCTATTATCGAAGCTTGCTGCTATCTGCTAATTGCTATCGACTAACTAACCGTTACCTCTAACTTCCCATTTTTCTTTCTTTAGAACAATCTCCAACACTAGTGTTCACCATGTTGCTTCAGGGTGACAGTACTGCCGAGCAGCGGCCCACATATGTGTACCGACGTCAGTTGACTTACGAGCGACGTCAGCTCAGCATCACCTCATTCAAGTCCTCGGATGCGCTCCACAAACTCAAGGAACAAAAGGGAACTCTTGCGGCCTCTGTCGAGGTCAGTACCTCTAATCATACATCCTAAAGATTATTTGCTAACATGTGGATTTGGCAGCCTCTCTACGCAGGCCTCACTGTCGCCCAATCGGACGATGGAGACTTTCGCTATTGCATTGCTTTGCACGATGGAACCTATACCATCAACTGCAAAAGCCGATCTCTTGAGCTGGCCTGGAGTGCAGGTGAAGGCAACTCATCGAATGAATCATCCCGCGTCGGATCAGGTGTCTCCACACCAATGTCCGTGGGAGACGTCTCCGAAGCTCTAGCCGATGCCTTTATCGAATTTCTTAGCAACTACCGAGAGAAGAATCTGTCCAAGCCTATGGGTGCTACTCTGACTACCCAACTCGCTAGCCTAAGCCCGCATCTTGCCGTACGCCTATGGACCGACTTGGACATCATACCATTCATCTTCCCAGCCGATGCGAAAGACAAGGACGAGCTATTGATACCTCTTGACCAAGAGGCTGAGCGCATTGCCAGGAAGACAGTGAAGCAATTCAATGTCAAGGGTGAGTTGCCTGTTCAGATGGGCCATCGTCGCCAGGTCTTGGTTGATCTTGACAGCCGAGTGCACATAGCCGAGCGCGAAAGCTACGATTCCACTATTAGGACGGACACTACGGGAGCTGCAACTATGCACTACGCCAACTCGTTAAAGCAGAGGAGGACCAAGATCGCGTTCTTCAACAGCACGGCACAAGGCGGAGGCGTGGCTCTCATGAGACATGCTCTGATGAGATATCTGAGTCTTCTCGGTATCAACTGCAAATGGTACGTTCCATACGGAAAGACCGACATTTTCAGAATTACCAAAGACAACCACAACATCCTTCAAGGTGTCGCAACTAGTGGTGAGCGTCTTACCGACGACAAGATCGCCAAGCTTGATGCTTGGGTCATTGAAGAGACCGAGAAGTGCCACTGGGTCGAGTTCGGTGGCCCGCTTTCTGCTCGCGAGAAGGGCGGCGCCGATGTAATTATTGTTGATGATCCTCAAATGCCGAGTCTTGTCAAGATCGCCAAGCAGAAAGACCCTAGGTTAGTCTTCCTAGTTTGCTGTCCAAAGTTCTCAGCGTGTTAGTTCTAGCTAACTCTGTCTTTCAGTCGCCCGGTCATCTTCCGCAGCCACATTCAGGTGCGAGCCGACCTGGCTGATCAAGAAGGAACCACTACCTCCGAGGTGTGGAACTGGATCTGGAACCACATCAAAGACTGCGACGTCTTCATCAGCCACCCTGTTCGAGCATTCGTGCCCAAGGTTGTCACCCCTGAGAAAGTGGGTTACCTGCCCGCGACTACGGATTGGCTAGACGGCCTGAACAAGCACATGCACCCTTGGGACGAACAATACTACCTCCACGAGCTCAAGGTTCAGTGCTTTGCAGCTGGCATGCGTCAGCTCGCTCATCCGGACCGTAAGTACATTGTTCAAATCGCCCGCTTCGACCCAGCGAAGGGTATCCCAGATGTTCTCGCGTCTTACGCCCGTTTACGCAAGAACTACATGAAAGACACTCCTCTTGCAGATATTCCACAGCTCGTAATAGCTGGACATGGAGCCGTCGACGATCCAGATGCGACCAGGATCTTCAAGGAAACTGAGACGGCTCTCAACGGAGACTACAACGAATTCAAGAACGATGTTATTATCATGCGCATCGGTCCATCAGACCAAATGCTCAACGCACTCATGTCCTGTGCCCATGTCGCCCTCCAGCTCTCTACCCGCGAAGGCTTCGAAGTCAAAGTCAGCGAAGCGCTCCACAAGGGCACTCCTATCATCGCGACTCTCGCTGGTGGTATCCCTCTGCAAGTTCAACATGGGAGGTCTGGCTTCCTGGTTAAGCCTGGTGACCACGACGCTGTTGCGAAGCACTTGTACGATCTCTTCACCGATTCGGAACTCCACTCAACCATGTCCGAGTACGCGAGCAAGCATGTTAGCGATGAGGTCAGCACAGTGGGTAATGCGCTGGCTTGGCTGTATCTGGCGGATGAGCTCTCCAGAGGTGTGCATGTCGCTCCCAATGGTCGATGGATCATTGATATGGCGAGGCAGAAGGCGGGTATCACATATCAGAGGGACGAGGATATTCTGGTCCGCGATGTGAACTTGACGGGTAACTGAGTATGAATGTCTTCGGGCTCTACTAGACATGATTGTATGAGTCGAGGGAAAGGTAGGATAGTTTCCCTCGTTTGATGACATCACACATACTACTATTCTGTGTTCAGTAAACATCCAAGTGCTGACTTCACTCGATTTTCCTACTAGCTTTGTAAAGGTCTTCCGGTGTCTCATTCTGGTACATAAGTTCTCTTCATGCTGTTTTGTTCCTCTCTCTCGTGCTGTCAATTTGATGTCTCTTCCATGCGTAGTATTTAAAACTACGTTTTGCCATGGCCTATTGTGTTATCTTCCTTCAGTCGCGAGCCTTGCACGCAGTGTGTTGGAGATTCTCCAGCTTCTGTATATGTTCCGCCCACTCGGCATCGCTTAGGTCTTGGATATCGAAGCAAATCGGGTCTTTAAGATTCTGTACTCTCGAAAGACGAGCGAATTCTGGGGGATCCTTGTCCAAGAAAGCATCGGAAACGACACCGAAGTCCGGGCAGAGATCGTGGAACAACCTTAACAAATGGTTCGGAACGGGCCCGTTGATATGGCACGTACGAACAGTGATAGTAAATTCGACGTTGGCAACAGCAGCATCGACTTCACGTGTACCAGCAGCCCCAACGTAGTAAGAACGGCAACTTCTGACAAATCGCAATATAGGGTGGTCGCCTTCTTTAGCGTGAATTGACAGTGCCTCGGGTGAAGTATCGAAGCAGGTATATAAGATGTCGCGAGTGGCCACAGTACCGTGTCCGTGCACCGAACGCCCGCTCCGGCACCTTCACGCCCACCACAGAAACGAGGTTATAGAGCCACATACAATAGCTATTATTACGAGAATCTTTGTAGTAATAGACTATAGGCCTATGCGATTACATTGATGCCTGCCACACCTTTTTTGGTTTAACTTTGCGGCCACGGCTGCTCTTTTTTGTCTTAGGAGTCAGGGAACGCTCATAGACAATAGGTTGACTACGAGCAGCTGTACTACTACACTTCTGCTTCTTTCTAGGTGATGCAACCTGTGGGACCTTGCGCTTGCCTCTTTGGGATAATTGTATAGCTTTCTCAGGGTCGCGAGCTTGCTTTTGACGCTCTCTTTCAGCCTTGCGTTCTGCTACTTCTTCTGCTTTCTTGGCTTTAACCTGATCTCGCTCCTCCTTCTCCTTTACCCGCGCCACACGCTTTTCTTCTGCAATCTTCTCCTTATATAGCTTATTAGCATGTGCCAACTCCTTCATCTCAGCTTTTTTTAGCTCCTCCTCCTCCTTCTCACGCTCTGCAACCTCTGCGCGAGTGCACGCCTCTCGGAAGGCTCTGGGTGACCACATCATCGCCCCACCATAATACTCCTGATGCTGCTGCAAGTCCAATTGCTTACTAGGTACTTTCTGACGCTTCCTGTTTTGGTATAGCTTCTGCGCAAGCCATCAAGTTCGCTGTGAAGGAGCTCGATTTGGGTTGGGAGGTGATGGATAGTTTGACCCAGCTTCCGCGCACCCACACTGCGCGGATCCTTCACCTCTGCACGCAATGTGCTGCAAGCTTTGAGCCAATCCTCTGCACAATAAGTCGTAGAAGCAGAGGAGACTGTTGCTGAAGTCTCAGGAGTAGTGTGGCGGAATCTATCGAGCATAACGTCGGCATTTACCGGGGATATGCCGGTGGCTGAGAAGGCCTTCTTTACGAGGTTTTCTTCGAACGTGTTGACCCAGGCAGGCCAGAATAGGTTAAAGAAGTCACCTTTTGACAGTGGGGATAGACCTTGAGATTGCTGGAGGTGGTCATCGAGTTCGCTGCTGTAGTGTGAAGAGAGAGGCTTGAAGCAGACTACATCTAACGGCTGCAGAGTCTGGGTACTGTGAGGGGGTAATACTGCCAATATAATACGATTCTGGTGACAGTATTCGAGAAATTCCTACGTTAGGTGACTCCCGTGGCCATCCACAATCAAGAGGCGGTACTTTAACCTAGCCTTAGGTTTAGTATAACGGTCAAACACCTGCTCTAACTAGGCTAGTCCAATGTCGTTGTTTGTCCATCTAGAGGATGAAGAAGCCACGTGAATAGTGTGTTTTCCGGCCTCAATATCCGCCACCTAGTGGCTCTGGATAGTAGAGTTTTTCGACGCGAAGATGATGCTAGGGGGAAGAGCAGTACCATCCGCACAAATCGCAGCCAACAGGCTCACCCACTCACGTGAGCCACCTTGACGAGCCTGCCTAACCTCCTTCTTCTCATACTGACGCCTGCTAAAGATGCGCTTTGACCTGCCCAGCACCCCGATAGCGAAACCCTTCTCATCCATATTGTACGTGTGCTCAGGCTCAAGACCATACTGAGTGATTTTCTGCTGCAGAAGCTCGAAGTACAACTTGTACCTGTACTCTGATTCAGCGTTGTGGCGATTGGAGTCCATGCCCGTGGTCCATTGAGATGTGAGTTGATCGTGGTGACGGTGGAGGAAGCGCGTAACCCAGCTCTCAGAAACGCGTCCTTGCGCAACTGTAGATGCGAAATTCTGCACCATACTCCTTGTAGGTGGCAAGTGACGCGCAGTAAGCTTTTCTATATATTTAACTAGATCATCTTCTTGCTGGTCGTTAAGTTTGCGGTTGCTGAAGACATCGACGTGTCGGTGGACCTGCACGCCTCGGTGCGCGCGCGACAACGTCGTGCGCGACACACCATGATTTTCTGCAATATGAGTATATACAAGTTTCTCTCTTGGCTTTAGTGCATCTATTGCTGCAAGTGCATTATTCAATCCTGGCATGGTGTTGAGTTATTACGCGTTAAAATGTGGTATGAATGTTGTGCTCCGGGCGTTCGGTGCACGGACACGGTAACGTCCCAGACCATGAGAAAGCGCACTGGTACATCCGCCATCGTCTGGATCTTGCGAGCCATGATAGGTGAAGCTTCTTGGTTGACTAAGCGACAAGTAGCTAGGATCGACATTTGTAGTGCTCCTCGAAACATGACAATCGACGCACTGTGTCCATCAAACCAAGTAAGTTACTTGGTTGACATCAGGGCTCCAAGCAACTGTGGGCCCTCTGGACCGACCGGTTCAACCGGTTGCTTTAACGTAAGCAGATCGTCTTGACGTGATTGGCCAGTGTCACGCGTCGGTGCTTAAGGTTCCAGCTAATTTAGTTCGGCCCATTGTAGTGCTCTAGCGTCCTGATGTCAACCAAGTAACTTACTTGGTTGATGGACACACTGAAAACCACGAAGTAAGCACACTCATGTGGGTGGGGTTCTCGCGATGGTCGTAGCCTTGTCGCACGCGGATTGACTCTTTCAACAATACACAACCTATATCAACATTCGACATATGAGCCAGCTCTGATTTCAGCAACACGCTGGCCGGTGGCTTGTAGCTGGCTCGGATCATGACATAGGCGCACAGCGCGACGATCATGCAATATGCCTCCGTAGAGCGCTCCATACCAACAGTTGCTTCTTGCGCTTTTTCCCAACTGAGAACGGGCTCCAAAGGGTAGACATAGGTAAAGAAGCATCTTGTGCAGCTTTCAACAAGACCGGGGGGCAACAAGTCTTGCGTACGAGCAAACGTCGAAAATAGTGACCGTCCATCGAAGCTAAGGTTAGTTGGAAATCCGCCAGCAAGCTGGATTTCGCGTATTTCAGATAGAACTTTAGCGCGGCTACCCTGCGGACCTTTCTTTTGTGGAATGGCATTGTAGGTACATACAAGACCAGCGGAGATGCAGTTCTTGCAAGGAGCCGTATTTTCGGCGATGCACTTGACCTTCCTTCGGTGACAGCTATAAATTGACAGAGTGAGTGATGGGGCTTGTGGGGTGTGCTGATTATACGTACCTGTCACAGGCTCGCTTGACGGAAGCAGTTGTGGTAGGATTCGAAGTCATGAGGGAGAAGAAAGCTAGTATAGGAACGTTTCGTCATCAATCTGACGAAGATTGCAGTCGCTAAGCGGGTCCACTGGCTCCTATTAGTAGAGCAAGCAGCTTGTGCCTACAGCAAAAATGTTTCTTCGGAAGTTTGTTTTGTCGCTGTGCTCCGGTGAGCATGCATTCGCACCCGGTTAACCTGCATAATTTGAAAGCCCAAGCGTCAGAGTGCATATTAGATTCGATTACGTAGCTTGAGTGGGCTAATCCCGGTAGGTCTGGGGGCTTGCCAATCCCACAGTCTAGCAAGGAGCAGCGGGGCGTGGAATCAGCCGAGTATCCACCATGATCGCACCTGTCAAAGGACAAAGATCTCTGTCTCGGTCAGCGGGATCAAGGAGATCGGTCGGCAATATGAACAATGCTGTGGAACACTTCTCAGCTTTGTGGAGAAGGCAAGCGGGGTTTCGCGAGGATGTCTACCGTGGAATTAGCGTAGCGTACTGGCCGGATCAATAGAGCGTTGCCGTCGCGCAGCAGTTCATGCCAGTGTGATTCCCAACAACTGCAGGACGGTATCACACGTAAGCCGGGCATAACCCCCACACTGCCTAGTTTCGTTAGAGCCGAACGTATGCAGCTTAAGGGGGACCTTGTTGCCATTCTCATAGCCAAAAATGCGGAAGAAGGCCTGTAGCTTTCGGTGATGTTCGTGGGCGGAAGGAAGCAGGGCGGTGGCGTAGATGCGCGAGTTTAGAGCATGTTGAAGTAACATCGAGACACGAAGGCAGGTTGACCAAGCGATCACAGGGCTTGAAGAGATCCATTATCTTGGCGTGATTATATCGTTTTACTCGACGCAAGCGGTTCGGATGTTGAGATAGGTAGCAGCGGAGACTATTATTTTATCTGGTGTCTAGATGGGCCGCGGGAATGCTTCAGTCCCCACTTGCCGCACTCGCCCCTGCCTTTAGCTAAGATCGGATGCAATGCTCCATAAATCTGCGTGCGGAACAGGGGCTTAGGTGGCGGGCGGCACGCGTGCAGATTCGGTACCTTGAGCGTGCGCGCAATACCTGCAGGAGACTACGACAAACTGGCATAGTACAGAATACTAAGATTCGAGTCTAGGCTTCGGCAGGCGGAGTGAGTGATACTGGAAGAGACCCTTCATTGCAAGCACGTACAAAGATGGAAAGAGTCTGCATATTTCGGGGATACGGCTGTCGCACGGCTGTACAACGAATGGTTCTTTGCATGAGCACTGCAATCATTAGGGGTGTAGTAACGCGCTTCAGTTTGATCTCTGAAGGTGCTGAAGAGTTTAGATCGTCGATGCTTATAAGCGTTGGGTAAGGTAGAGCAGAGATCTAATAGTAGCTTTGCTTGGTAAGATACTACACTATATCAGGCTGCATGCCGTCTTGTCATCGACAACGGCCCTTGTATCTTTTCGCAATGCAATCCGGTGCGGACGTTCATGATAAGGTTAGGGCTAAGCTAGCCCGTATACTTCCTGCGCACCCCACCAACGTCGCGATTACGGTCTTTGAAGCTCGCTATCACCACTACCACCCATAATGGACGCTCGCGAGGCTGCGATACAATATGTTATTGCTGATCTTGGATCTGGAGTTTTTTCAAGCCAGCGAAAAGCTTCTAGAGTGTACAGCATCTAAGAATCGACGCTGCGCGCATGACGCGCTGGTCACCACCAAGCCTACGCGATGGCTCACCAGAACCAGCAGCGGTTGACTCCGAAGCAAGAGGATTTTCTTGTCGATTGGATTATTGATGAGGATACCGGCGCTCAGCTTCCATCTCATGGCCATGTTCGTGCGATGGTACCCCGGATCCTGCGCATGAATGGCGATCACCAGCCTCTCGGCCGTCTCTGGGTCACAAATTTTCTCCTTCGCAATCTAGGTGTTGTGAAGGAGGTAAGAGGGTACGCAGACGGTTGAAGCGCGTTGTTGCCCATAAGGAGAGCTGAACAAGAGCGGTAGATACTTTGCCGTCAAGAGTCTTGGTCTCGATAGAGATACATATTGGCCAGAGGCGAACGCCTTCGTAGGTAGTGTGGCTGATGCTGGTGATGCTGGTGATCCTGTTTCTCGTATCTGCAAGCACTTGGCTGATGGCGATGAGGACGAAGTCAACGAGTTTAGATTCGGCATTAATGTCGCGGACCTTGGGAACAAGTTTGGCGTCCAATCGTACCGCAGTAACGTTTTCTTGCTGGATGCCAGGAAGGTTTTGGTTACCTGGCGCAACATCACAGCAGAGAAGGTAGGGGTAGAGTAAGTCAGACCAATAGAAATTCAAATGCAGCCTTTAGAATATTAACCAGCCCATAAGTCATGTTTCAGATCTGGCAGCATGGGTGCAGGGCGTGGCCAGCCACGATGGAAATCCAAAGGCTCCCAGTCGTCGCCCTTGCGCGTGCTATGAATGCGCTCCAACCTGATGACGAGAAGACTGGCGTCCAGTGCGACAACGAGGATGTTGACAAGAACCAGGTGCCGAATCATTTTTCCCTTGCGGCTCCCTGAATTTGAGAACGTGGTTGAGAGTGCGGGAGGCCTCCCAGATATAAATACCGGCGATGATGCACTCCTGGACGGAGAAGCCGGCGAGTTGGATCTTTTCGTAGATTTTGAAGACGTTGGTGAGTGAATTGAAGGAGCGGACATTGATGGCGAGATACAATGCCGACACAGGTAGATGGAGGACGATGAAGTTGGTGACGATCATGATTAGCACGCGGCGCGTCTTTTTCCGGTCGCTAACCAGATGTAGTCGCGAGTAAAGCACAACGGCATGGCCGGTCACCATGGCCCACCAACCCAGGACAACAGCGAAAGACATGGCCACGTTCGACACCAGGCCGAACATGCGTACTAGCATAGCGATCGCATAGACGGGGATACCGATGCATGCGATAAGCATACTCCAGAAATACAGCCCTTTGCGGTGTTTGAACCGGCGGAATATGAAGAAGAGGATTTCGATCGAGTTAGAGACGGACATGCCAAAATGGCAGCTATCGTCATCGCCCTAGGTAATGATAGATGTACGGGCCCTGACTCGCCCGCCATAGTGTCGGAGTTGAGTAGGAACGGCTGGGGGATTGAAGAGAAACATACATGGGCAAACCGGTTAACCGGTTTGGCTCACCGACCGAAACAACTGACCGATTTGACCGGTCCAACCAATCAGACCAGTTGAAAATGTAGACCGACCAGAACGACCGATCATTTTGCCCATGTATAAATTGATCCGATTGGTCATTTCGGTCGGTCAACGTAACCGGTTAACCGGTTTGCCCATGTATGAAGAGAAAGACACGGCAGGCGAGAGAGCAGTCACAGATAAAGGGTCCGTTGGGAGAGAGTGTCGCAAAATGGTGGCATTGAGCTGACCGTTTCAATTTAACGTCATGCCTTTGCTCCTCTATACAGCTTCGATTTGCGGCTGGGTGCGCACATACAGCCTCCTGTGGCCTGAACTGCCAATCAATGGGGTCACGAAGCTTTCTCTGCAATATTTAGACTCAACGATCAGAGTATGCCCTGCTTACACGAGAAGCTTGGCTGGAACATGATTGAAAGGCACCTTTGTCGCAATTTGAGATGGAGTTATGTGCGAGCTGGCATTATGGAAGCTCTGCGAGATTTCTGCAACGTCTCTTCCTGCAGCAGCGTGCGAGAAATAGTGGACGATGATCGACGGTCAGATAGCTAAAACCCAGGAGCCCGGGAAGTCCCGTCAAGCTGCGCCGCACGTTCCGGATCGTCCATCCAGTAAGGCTGGAGGATGATCGGGCACGGAAATTGGTTTCTTCACACGAGTCAACGGATCGTCGCCCACTTCCCCGCGCCGCTCTCGCCACAATTTTCCCACCCATAAAATTGCCAATAACTGACTTTGGCCCCATTCATACACACTCCATCGGAAGTATCATATCCAAAGAGCTACAGCGCTAGCCCTGGCACATTCTGGTCGTTCTGCTGCCGAACTCGACTGGCTGAATGGCTAGTCGCAGACCGTGTTTAATTTCGCGATAGTTTTCAGCCGCGGCAGGCACAAGAGTCTTGGATATTGTCCAAAGCGATTCTTTTGGTGTCAACATTTACGCGCACATGCTTAAAGATGCCTGAGGAAACGGGTGTGCACGGCATGGAACCTTGGCGAGCAGGTGACTTGTCTCTAAATGAATTCGACAGCGCCATACAAACCTAGTGCAATGGGAACCTCTGCTGGTATGGACTACTACCGTGCCCGTGCGCGTGACGAGCCACCATAACATTGAGATCGTCCCAACTTCAACGCGTCATGACTCCACCACCATGGACCCGATTCAAGAAGCGATTGAAGATATCGAATCGCAAGAACCAGGAGATAAATTCTCGTACGGCGAAGTTGCGAAAAGAATTCGGTGTTGATCGAACGAAGTTGTCGCGGAGGCACCAAGGGCAGCAGCGCACCAGTGCAACCAAGGCAAAGCGTCAGCAACTACTCAGCCCACAACAGGAGTCAGAACTAGTACGATACATAGAAAAATGCACAAAACGAGGCTTGCCACCGACGCGAGAGATAGTAGCAAATTTCGCCAGCGCGATTGCGATGTGGGAGGTTTCTAAAAGCTGGGTTACTCGGTTTCTGAACCGCCACGCTGACCAGCTCACCACCAAATGGAGCGCTGGTATCGATCGTCAGCGCCATGAGGCTGATAGTAGAGAAAAGTATGAGGCATGCTTTAATTTACTCCACTCTAAGATGCGCGAGTACGAGCTTGACGAGCGCAACACGTACAATATGGATGAGAAGGGTTTCTTCGTCGGCATCTCCTCACGCTCAAAACGAGTCTTCAGTAAGACAATTTGGCAGTTGAAAAAGCGTACTGAAGCGATCAAAGATGGCAACAGACAATGGGTAACGCTTATTGCTTGCGTATGCGCTTCTGGAGAGGCACTGCCGACCGCCCTTATCTACCAGGGATCCTCTGGGATTCAATCGAGCTGGGTTGACGACGTAGAGGTCTGAAAACATCAGGTTTTCTTCTCCAACTCGCCTACAGGCTAGTCAAACAATGATCTTGGGCTTGCCTGGCTCGAACAGGTGTTCAACCGCTATACTAAAGCCAAAGCGCGTCGACGATGGCGCCTTCTGATCCTTGACGGCCACGGCAGCCACGTTACCGCCGATTTCCTGGATTTATGCGACGCCAATCGAATTCTGCTTGCCATCTTTCCCCCGCACTCAACTCACAGCCATCAGCCGCTCGACGTGGTGCTGTTCTCGCCGCTCGTGAGGTACTACACCACAGGGCTCAACCACAAGCTCCACCAATTGCAAGGACACACGATAGGCGCGAAGCGAGCTTTCTTTACAAACTTCTAGGCGGCGTGGAGCTCTGCGATAAAGCCGGAGACGATAAGGAAGAGTTTTCAAGCTACAGGCGTGTGGCCGATGTATGCGGAGCCTGTACTAAAGCGCTTCAACAACCGCACTTCGCGACAAGATCACGACTCAGAACTTAGAGACAGTAGCGGCAGTGATATACCGAAGCAGCTGGTGAGTTTATGGGAAGCTTTAGTCGAGGACGGTGCCAAAGAACGCACCAAAGAGCTGCTAGAGAGAGTAGAAGCGCTACAGGTCAAGAACAAGCCGCTTCGCGACGTACCAAGACACGGAAAGCTCATTGCCTTTTCATCAGCAAATCGCATCGCTAACCAGGTAAAGTTCGAATCTGAGGTTTTAGTTACGACTTTGTATCAGATTAGTGGAGGTTGCCCAAGTGAGTCTAGTGCTCGATTTAGCTTCCACAGAAAGATTCTAGTCGAAGCAGCCTTTCCATGCGTGCCACAGACAGGTGTCGTGAGCTACGCATCCGTAGAGACATTGACTGCGTGCTGTTTCGGGATTTCCAAGTCGAAGATGCAGTAATTGCAACGAACGCTAAGCACACGTACGATGTCCGCGCAGCGGAGTCAGTGTCTTCAGCGGTAGCCCAAAGGTCGCAGCGCACGCAGATACGAGCGTTGTACTTTGTGAGATATCCTTCGCTGCCGAGCTTGTTCGATGCAACGCCTAGTAACGGAAGAATACAATGGTCCTTGTACGTCCCGATTCTTTTCATAACCATCCCTCCTTGGCATTTTTGTCTCCCATCACATAGATCTAATGATTTGTTTTTGTGTAGGAGGGATGGCTCCATACCATCTGTATAGTTGTAGTCCGACGGGGACAGCCGTGTGATGAGACTGTAGCATTAGTGACTTTGCAAATGCACCTGCCAAGTTGGTCTGTACGCATTGACAAAGAAGATGTTGCCTCGTCTTGCTGGCTCAGGGATGGCTTCGCACTATGAACCAGTAGGCTCATTGCTCATGCCAACGCAATCCGATATCCGAGCTCATATCGGATGACCCTGTCGCCTAGGTATCCCCTGGGGCATGTATGACCTACCCTCGTTCTGATGTGCTTCCACATCGAACTGGCAGACCATGTGGAGACTAGGTATCGCGTATACGAAGTGAAACTATAGTATGCAGGAGGATGGCACGAAGACATATCGTTGATCGCGGTAAGCTGTGCAGCTGTGGCTTTGTGGGCTGATGGAACCCTATTGGAGGAGCTGCTCTTGTCGCCTTCTTCTGGTTGCAGCATGATGTGCATGCAGCGATGTGTGCTAGGTCGTGTCTTGGGGCTCCTTCGATGCACAGGTAATCTATGGCCACCTAAATCCGGAGCGATCGGCGACATGTCTCCATAAGGTCTCGGCATGATCGAAGATGTTGTTTCCTCAATCGAAATGAACGGTCGATGAAGATGGGCGCATGAGTTTGATGCCGTTGTCGGCGGCGACGGCTGTGCTTACTGCGCAGTCTGCGCCCTATACCTCGATGCGTACTTCTCATCTTCCGTATGTTGTAGCGTTGCTAGAGGAAGCTTAACATTCGGCATTAGAGACCAGCATCGTCGTTACACCTCCAATTGTCCATCAACTACATGGGTTTTCGAATCGAATCAGTCGTTCTGACCAGGTTTGTAGATTAAGGCTTCTTATATTGCTGAGGCGATTATCAGGAGCTTGTCTAGTAGGCCCTGGAATCGTGTGCGCAATCATTTCGGCTTCTTCAGAGTGCTTGACAGTTTGCTCGGCCCTAACGTATGTCGATCGAACAGCACCGCTTCCAGAAGTGGATGTCGCCGCCACGATCTTTTCCCCGTTCATGGTGTTGAGACCTTTGCTTGGGACGCTCCAGCTTGTGTATCACTATTTCCTGAAGTGGCGAGTTTATGTCATATCCACCTTGAAGGTTTCGATGGCAACAGTGTCGCGGCACTCGGACCAACGATTATGTAGCTTAGATGAGCTAAAGCCCTGTTCGTGATTTATACCAGCTTTCCAAGGGCTGCATTCCTTGATCTTCTTGTAATTAACACTAATGCCCGCGTTATATTGAACGAAGGCTTCTTGATCAGGCTTGGATGCGAGCGACTTGTCGTCCCCGATGTAAGGAATAGATGAACACGTGTCGTCGATTTCTGGCGTGGCTGGATGGCTTGATCGGATTGGTTTCGTCTCATACGTCTCTCGCTTCTGCTGCTCTCTTAGTAACCAAAATGCAGAGTGTACCTACAAATGTAGGATCTGAACTGGAAAGTAACGTTAGTTGGATGAATTACTTAGTCATGCCTACTAAGCAGTTATGTGATGTGGTCTTGGGCTTACAGAAGATGTCGGCATGGTCCACATCAGCGACTGTGCCGTGAGGTTTCCTATCGATAAGTCAGGCTGAGATGCCAGAGGAAAGAAAGGCTCACACAGTTTGCTCGTCCCATACATCCACGACTTCCCTAAGTTCCCTTACGCAACATCGCGACACAGAGCATTTACA